TCCTTAAGTCGCAGGGCGTGAGATTTGATGAAGTCTACAGCTCGCCGTTGGATCGGGCGAGAGCCACTGCGGCCTTTGTTTGCCGGGTAAATTCCTCATCCTCTGGTTTCTTTGATTTTGCTGCGCAATCTATAGATCTGCATGTTGGGATTCATTTCTGCTGCCTTCGATGTCTCAAATTTTGATTTTTATTGGCTAAAGATCAAGTTTTCAGTTGAATATCCTTCTTTTTGTTGTAGCTTCTCTGAATCGGGTTCGATAAGATCCTTAATTGCTATCTAATACATAAGTTTAAGAAGCACGCACTTGTTTTTATAAAGAGTAGCTTAATTGGTTTCTATGACACAAATTTGTCTGTTCCTACTTTTGTCTTCTATAGCCAGAGAAATTTCAGCAAATTGTTACAGACATTCCACGAGGAAGCTAACTATATGCGAATGAATTCACTACCCAGGAAATTATCAGTCAGAGACTAAGCATATGAATGTCCGTCTTCCTAAATAGGGCACTTAGTAGGTAAAAGAAGGAAACAAGTGGGTTTTTCTTCTTGTTTTAAACCACCTGTAAGTTGTCTTTTTTGGACTCCTTTGACTTAAAAATAAGGAGTACTGAGGTAGGATTAAAGAACATATAGTTGTCCACTTCCCATACATGTTAGCATTCCAAATCAATAATTCTTACTGGCATTGTAAATATGCCTGAAAAATATCAAAGTTCTTGAAGAAATAATAGAAAAAAATAAAAAGATTGATGGAGACATATTGCGACTTGAACTGTTCCAAAGTACTGGTTTTGTGAAGCTTTTTTCTGCATGGAGATCTCAGCAACTGAAATTCCTTGTATCTAATAGAGATGATAAGTTTCAAATCCTAGAATTGTGCTTATCTTGATTGAACTTAGGTTTCATTCATTTGATTCCATTTCTTTAAAATGTTCGTGCGATCATCTGATTATCAACTTAAACATTTGATGATAGAGTTTAATTCTATAAAGTCTTTTAAGTTAAACTTTTTGGTTCAGGCTCTTGTCCTTCAGTTGGAATGCCAGAATTGATCACATATCTCCTCAGATTGATTGTCTTTGGACCTTGATAATAGTCTAAAACAGGATTTAATTGTTGAAGGGATGATCCAAGACCAGATAAAATCTCTCTTGTCAGCATAGTTAGATGCCAATGTAATGGTGTATAGACATAGTTTAAATTTAAGTGAATCTCCTGTTATTCAAGTGCTAAAGAGTAAAGACTAAAGGTTAACTAAAGGAACAACAAACTTGTGCTTCATTGAGGATAAAACCTCATAGTAACACAACCAAAGGATCAGAAAAGCATCAGCAAACATATATTAGAAAATGCTAGCTACATTTCTATATGTACATTCATATAAAATATTAAGGGGGCCCTACATTTGCTTGAGGCAAAGCTTCACTTCCATTTCTTTTGTTAGACCTTGATAAGAGATGACCTTGCCTATAAAGATTGTCATGTAGCTCACGTGGATCTACACATCGGCATAAATCGAAATGTATTAGTGCCAGTGAGATATCAGCACATGTCCTGCCAATTTATGCCACAGGTGTTAACATACGGGTTGGCCAATTATTGGTTGATGCGTAGCATAGGGGTGAATTGACCAGCATGACATGAAGCGACACTGTGCTAGAAAGATATTGACATGCTCTCATGCCACCATACTGCAATATTTGCTTATTTTAGACATCTGTGTTTAGTTCTATTTTTGTCTAGATTCTAAATCTTCTAGATCTGTATAGATTCTTGTATATTGTCTGTGATAATTGCTTCATACCTTTTCTTCTCTTTTGGCTATTTTAGCATGTTGTGGAAATGTAATCTCCATCATTATAATCTTTAGCGCTCCAAACATTCATGATGTTGTAATGTGGCAATTTATTATTCCGCAAAAAGCAACCTAAAAAAACATACACAAAAGTAAAATAAAATAACATGGTTATTGTTAAACATTAAAATGAAGTTTAGTCCAATTAGAACTTAAGTTTACTTGGAAGGTGCTGGGATTTCCTCCATTTAACAATAGATCAGCAAACTCTAATTTAAACAGTATGGATTCATTTGGATGCAATGCTTGATATCTTATGTTAGGGTTTGCATAGCATGAGTCAGAGAATTTTCTATTTTTCCAGTTGGTGGATTGCTCATCAATTTGCCATGGAACTGTGCAGGAGCTCGGTTTTGCTGAGGAGCAGATCCGATTGTCTGATGCATTGTTTGAGATAAGTCAAGGCCAGTGGGAGGGTTGTCTTCGGTCAGAAGTTTACTCCCCTGAAATGGTTAATTTGATTGACAGAACACAGCCTGATTTTTGTGCTCCTTCAGGAGAATCACTCAGGCAGGTGGTATTTCGGATGGTTGAATTTCTCAACAGGACAGTCCTAAGATTGCCTGAAAAGCTGGCAGTGACAGATACATCAATCCATCAAAATGAGTCAAAGGCACTCTCACGTAACAGCTCATCCAATTCAGTTCAGGACCGAGACGGGCCACACTGGGATCTGCTGTACAGGCTCAATCGACCATCTCTTCAGAGGAAGAAATCTGGTAAGAGCAGACTTCAGTTTGTCACCACTGGAGACAATGAGACCGACGAGGAGTTCTCCCCCAGAGAAGTCACTCCAGGAAACCTCCTTCCTGATGGTAGTAGAAACCCTATTTTTTCCATCGGGATCTTCACTCACGCAATTCCGATTAAATGCCTTCTCACTGGCCTGCTGGATTGCAGTCCTGCAATGTCTCATAAAATATCCATCGATGATTCTTCCATGACAGCCCTGCATCATTCGCTAAGAACCGGATGGCAGATAAAGAGGCTCAATGATACAGCACATCTCAGGCTTCTTTAAACTATGATAAAGGATGATATACCAGGACATTTATCTGCCTTTCTGGCTGTATTCTTGCTAAGTTATGCTTTGTGTTGCGAATGAAGATGTTTCACGACTTTTGGTCATGCGAGATGACCTCACTGATGTTTAGTGCTGGAAATTGTTCCAAATTGAGATGAAAGCCGGAGATCATTAAGATTCGAAAGCAAAACTGTGCTGCACAGGAAGTAAGCTTGTTTGTATTTACTTTGTCCATCACCTGCTATAAGTGCCCAGGATTGGAGGACAGAATGTCCTGGGATTATCTGTCATCGTCCCATTTTTGCATTGTAACTTATGAATCCTTTGTTTAGTCAATCAATTTGAGGTGCAATTTGCCGGTTGTTTGTACATTTTGACTGTGATACTGAAATCTCTGAATGTGGTCCATGAATATGATTACCTGAGGTCCATACATAACTATATATTTATCATGATGATTTAAATTAGACCAGTTCTTGTGGCAGATGAGCAAAAAATAAAAAGAACAAATGCAAACTGGATTCCTACTTCATTGTGTCATACCAATGAGATGATGAGAGATAAGCTTCACAAGACGGACACAATTAGCACCATCAGCTTATGGTAGTTAATGTAAGCTTCTTAGAGGGATGCTGGAGGAAGTGACTGACATATATGAAAAAAGTTCAAAAAGTATTATGAATTGTAAAGGCACAACAAATATATAATATCAAGACTTCAATACATATTTAGTCAAAGCGATAGAACATGATGACACAATTCATGAAGTCATGGCGTGTCTCCAAGTCTACCACGGAGAAAACTACGCGTTGAATCGGACAAAACAAGTTGAATAACAAATCAAAGGTTGGCTTTTTCCCCCCACCTGACTCCATTCCAAACAATCCAAAGTCTCCATTTGCCAACTCAACCAAGCGGACAATCGAACGTGCCATTTGGAATGCGACGGCGGCCAGTCGACGGTCGACCCTCCGAAGCCATCCATCACCTTCAAACATTTATCTAAAACTGTAAATTAAAAAGTCTACTTCAATGTCGTTGCAATTAATCTTTATCAGTTGACCCGTTCGTATAATAATATTATAATTTTTAATAACATTTCCTGTACTATGTAATAAATATTACATATGTTTCTACAAATTAATAATATTTATATTTATCATTTTCATCATTTTGTTAGAACCCTTGCAGATTCTAAACTTGGGGTTGATCTCTTTAGGGGATCGACCTCCTTGGAACTCTATAGGGGTTCCTCCCTCCAAGTTGCTGCTCAAAGGCTACAGAAAAGATTCATCTATTGCTTGAGAAAAGAGGAGGAATACATGGCTATTTATAGGGCTTCTAAACCCTAACTCCTAATAGGACTCCTACTTAAGACTCTTACTTCTAACTAACTCCTAATAGGACTCCTACTCAAGACTCCTATTCCCTTACAACTCCTAATTCTTCTCTAAGAAAAAACCTCCTACATGAATGTCCCTCTCAATTAGGATTCTCCTAACTAGAGTGTCCCTCTCAATTAGGACTCTCCTA